TGTCAATTTTATGCCCTGTCTCAATTATGTGTTCTGCGATCGATGAACATGGTATCCATTTCCCATGCTAATCGGCTGATCTGACATTAACGGATTTTGAAGCCACTTAGGTACATTTTCCATAACCCTTGATTGTAAACTTCGATTACTCCTCCCTATGTATATGTGTCCACACAATGGGATGTCGACTTGTTAGAAATGTATAGCGCAGATACATCAGCTTTTTCAGATCACTTACGTTTTCTCACTGTTCTATCAAAATTTATAAAAGGGACTAATTGTTTTAAATGGTTATAATTGTAGATGTATAGTTTAGAACATAAATTTACTAGAATGACTCCCCTATCCTATTGCATTATATATGGCACTATTACAAGGCTATCTAAGCAAATAATATTTCTTAATTGCATTTTGAAAATCTTATGAACTTATTTTCAACAGTAAATATAACATCTTTCTCTTAGCAACAATACTGTCAGGAAAATTACAAGACGATGGCAAAGTGCAGCTGGATGGTTTACAAAAGACTTTTATGGTTTTGTTACTCCCAAAGTTCTGGTTAGTTGATCTTTTTGTACAGTTCACAGAATTTCTTAGTATCGTAAGGAAAAAAAATAGGTTGAATATTTCTACAAAACTTCATGTAACATATTTCGGTTTATTAACTAGTTGTGAATCATGTGTTTGATAAATCAGTCATTCATGAACTGTATACTGTCTATTCCTCCTAATTGTGTTAACATTTAAAAAGCAATTAAAATTAGTTAGAAAATCTTCAGAACTCGGACGGTTTTCAACAAATACATCGTCTTTGTCATTAACGTCTTAGCAGTGTCCATTCACGACGCAGTGCAGGACAGAACTTACTGCTTTTAGTTGTCCCTGTGAGAACAATATATTCTGACTGGTGGAACAGGGCTTGTCTAGCGCTTATTCAAAATATAAAGTGATTATTAGGTGTTTCAGTTAGCGATGATATTTTGAAGTCTAATATGTTGAACTATATTAAGTCATCAGTTCACACAGGAAATCTTTGAATCTAGTTCGGACGAAAAAGAACTTATATAAACTATCTCAATATATATTCTCTTTCTAAATGGAAATTCTTCAACTGAGCATTGTTTTTTGACCGATTTGTAGAGCACCATATTAGGAAATAAAACTAGTGTTTTGTATTCCTTGGCTACCACGACTAAGTATAAGTTAATGAAGTTTAAATGAAAACAAGTTTTACAAGCCGTACAAGATACCAAATAACTTATCAGCATTTTGAGAATATATGTATTTTATAATATCCTAATGTATAAACTGTTTTGTGAGGATGATATGTCTTCAGGACATTTTCAACTTTCAAAGAATTCCTCCTCAAATTGATCTAAGTCCCAACTTCTTACATTCATCTATGAAACTGTCAACATAAAATTTATCATCAACTTTGTCCAACAATAATAGTTGTATTAGGCAGGTATCGATACTTGATACTAATAATTTAAAAATTCATATATTATCAGTGAAATGTTTTATCGAGAAAAAAAGAAGTGTTTTATGTGCAGCAAGATTTTAGTGTATGAAATAAAAGTCTGACTCTACTACACTGAATTGTCATTTAAAAGTCGTTTTGAGTTCTATGTTCTTTATCTGTAAAAACAAACAACAAACTGAACAACAATCTATACTATTTAGGCTGCTGCAAGGAACCATTTCAAATGTCCAACTTTAGATGGAGCTGACTTAGAAAATCAAAACCAAAATAGACAAATAGGATCTCATTGGGAAGGAAGAACATATGGGGTGAGTCAATTCAAGTGTTAGTATTAATTTTTTTCAGTTTTGTAAATTATAATTGAAGAAAACCACAAGAAATAGAAAACTTTCGTGTATATCGCTTACATTAAAATGATTTGTTTTTATCATTACGTCCAATATAATTGCATCGAATTAAGAATACTAATGAAATGAATATGTCATTTTTTGACTAAAATCTATTGTTGCTTGATTTGATCGTAAATCAACATTTAAAATGGTTTGATCAAAGTTCAAATTAGAGTGCTAATTCAATGGACAGGTTTCGACACTTGGAAGAAGGCAAACCTATGTAACTGAAAAGAATTATTTTCTTTGATCGAAAACTAAAATATTTCATTTTTACTATTAAGAATTTCATTTATGAATTATAATGAATATTTTCACGGCTGATATTATACTGAAGTCGGCCTACGATTAGGAACTTGTAGGATTGGAAGGCTGCTCTGCCTAAGTATGGGACTCCTCGGCAGTAAGCATTAACGACCGCGCACATAGAAATCGAACACATCACTTATCTTGTACACGAACACTTGGTATCTATACCGCTGAGCGTGCATTAAAAAAATAGTAATGTCCAACTTCAGTTAATTCATTGCAAAGAGTCCCATACTAAGATGAAACTGCCTTCCTCTGCTTCATGAATTCCCATGATAGTCTCACTTAGATTAGTTCATTATTTCAGCAGTAAAATTATGCAGCCTCCGCAAATCATCTTTATTAGGAGTTAGCGTGTTGGGGTTGAATTAAAAACGAAAGACACTTGTTTACTAAAATTACGCTACACAAAGGAATATTACATTGATTTGACACGATGCACAACATCATACAGAATCGTTGCAAGCAAGAATATTACACTAGATTTGATCACTTCATCTCACACTTTTAACTCTCTTTATACTTGCCCTTTATAACTGGATGGTTTCGTATAGGTTTTGGGAATAAGCTAACTTATTGATGTGATAGACTGAAGTCAGGAATATTTAATTAAGGTAAACGAGAAGGAAAATTTGAAAACCTGAATCATAGTTAATATCTATGATTCTGTCAGAAAATAAATGTTATCTGCTAGTGACACTCGTTAAAAAGTCTTTGAAAATCAAACGACAACAACTTCTCGGTGCGCGTCCAATGCGACTAGGCTATATCATACATGATGTGGTTATCACATTCAACTTGATCAACAGTTATCATATATTCTATTGGTGAATAACTTTGAGATAAATTACCAAAGCTTTGGTTACAGATAATGGGCGCAATGCATAGAGAAATGCAAACTACTATATTAAAACTCCCATTTCTCATAAATCTAATGGTTCTAAACTGAAATAAAGTAGCTGCCTATCGATAACTGATCATCAAAGATATACTCGTTGAGAAAATCTATGACTCGAACAAAGTAAAAGTAATTGACCAACTTTCAACATTTCCGGTAGCTTATGTAGCTAAATAGCAGTTGCATGATTGTTCACGCACAACATCATCTGCTATTGTAATTTCAGAGTGAAATAATGGCTGGAAGAATAGAAATAAACTATGCTGTATCCCGTGTTACTCTGAGTTTCTTCGAAGATTCTGGGTAAGTAAATTTAAAACACGTTATCGTTATTACAAATGCGAATCCGAAAAAAGTAATATGAACCACCATTTAGTATCTCTAAACAAAAAGGTGATTCCACTAAATATTTAAAAACCTCAGGTATATAAGCCATAGTTTCTGTTACTTTGACACACCTAGGTTTCTACAAGTTCTCGATATTTGTAGTAGCACTATCAAAGCAGTATCTGAAAATATATTGCTAAACACGTTTGAAACTATTCGAATTCATCAATGAAGATGTAAAAAGTTGTTTATTGTATGTCCAACACTTTCATGCATTAGGTATCCAATCGATGGCATGAATTCATGATAAGAACCGAACTATTCTTGTGTAAAGTCATGCGTCGAATTTACAAATGAGTTCAAAGACTCGGAGTATTAACTTGCATGATCTATGTTATGTATGATCCATAATGATTGATACTGTGGACTTATTACACTTTGGCATTTAGGAAACTAAATATATCATGAAATATTTGGACATAATTCTGAAGCAACTAACAATATTGGCTTAAAGATATTAAACACCTTACTGCTGTCACAACCCTCTACAGATAGCAGTACGACTTCGCCCTCAGAACTTGAGTTGCTCAATTTAGTCTTACGATTCTCCAATCACCTTGCCTAGTATGGTAGGACTTAACATATGTTCCAACCAATATAGCTCATATGTATTCAATACTTAATTTTTAAAACATATTTATTCCCATTATGATTTATTATTCGTAATTTTAATTCCCATATACTGTTAATATTTATTTTCAAGTTGGTACAATGTTAATTACAAGAAAGTGATGAAGTGGGAATATGGTAGACAGTTAGGATGTGAATTTGTCATGAGAAGTTGCTTCGAGTATGCTGAAACTCGAAGGAGATTGTAAGTTATTTGTTATGTCAATTAGAAGTTTATTATTTGATTCTTTGTTCAGTAAATACAAATGTTATGTTCCTCACTAGGTACGCTTGAAGCTATTACGAGTTCACCTTAGTCGATAAACGTGAACGAGACAATTACTAGCGTTCAAGTAGGCTACCTTGAATCCCAAACTGAAAAACCGAAGTCTTGATATAGCGTAGAAAGTATATCCTACAACACCGAGCAATCATACAATATAATCAAGCATACAACTCTCTTTTATTTATACATCCTAGAAGCGTCCTTGGGACAGTCACAAAAATCACACACTAAAATACACAGCAGTCAATCATAGCCATGATGGGAAATGAAATCTCAAGGTCAACTGACCAGCCCATGCTCGCAAACGTGAAATCCAAAATAAGGCATATATCAATCGAGTTCTGGGAATCCAACATCCCCAACAACAATTCAAATATATGCAACAATGTGGAAGTTAATGAATTCTAAATTATTTTGTGTCAGTCAAAACGGTAATGTATCAGAAATCTGTCAGGTTATGAGAATATTTTTATTTTTGAATATATCAACAAGCTAAAGCAGAATTTAATGGATAAAATATGAAAAATGAAACTAATTGTCTGTTTAATGTTGAGTACCGACCTGAAGTGCATTACCGTTTGTAATTAAAGGTATACTGAATTTTTGAATAAATCTGTCTGTCAAAATGAGCAAATTATCATGCTTCTAACTGAATTTCAACTGATTATTCTGTTTTTAAGTGGTAAAAGGTTTCCTCCATTCTGTGACAAAGTTCAGGAAGCAACATGTCGCGATGCATTCTCGTATGGAGCATGTAGTATTTTAAGATATTATACTGAAGTTCCTAAAGAGGATCGGTTCTTCAGAGTCGCGCCATTCGATACTCAGTATGATCCCAAATATTTTGGAGGAGAAGATCCATTTAAAGACTATTGTCCAACACTAGTTGTAAGTGCACTACCCTATATTCTTGTGAATATTTTATTTCACAGTTTTTTTGTAACACGACTAAAATACTGTTTGCAAGCTTCCCAGTTCAATTGCTTTCCACAATAGCGTTGACGCTAATCAAAAACTAAATAAAAATATTAACTTAGACCAGTATTCATTAATAGCTCTATGAAGAACCATAAGTTGTCATCATTATTGACATTAGTGCGAAGCATACAATAATAATAATGGATATTTATGTGTCATTATATATATATATATATATATATATATATATATATATATATATATATATATATGGCCTGGAGTGCGATGAAAGCTCAGGAAGGATAGAGAAGGTTCGACTGGATTTGCAAACCTTCATCACTGATGGTTTAGGAAAGATATCTATCTACCAAGCAGAGGACGAATCTACTGTGCAGCAGTTCACCTAGTCTTAATTCATGGATGTGAAACATGACCACCAAGTTTAGAGCATATTCATGAATCACCAGTATTAGATCACAAGTGTCTTCAAAGCATTGCTCAAATGTCCTCGGACCACCGAGTAAGTAGTGCTAGTGTTAGGAAAAGAGTACTAGGTAAGGATGACAAATCAATAGATAAGGTATTGAATATTCATCATTTGAGGTGGTTGGGACATGTGTGGTGTGTGTCCAACCATCGACTGGCTCGTCAACCTGTTTTGTGATGTAGGGGTTGGCTGGAAGGAAACTTAAGGCGACTAACCCGAAACATAGCACAACAGGATTCAGCCATATTAGTAGGTATGGACTACTACCTGGTTGGGGTTCATGAGAAAATTGAAACCGTGTCTTAGAGATATGTCTCAAAATCGTTGGCAATGACGCAACTACACCCACTGACTGTGTTCTCTCTTATTCTAATCTTCTGACCTTTCTTCTTTCGTTTTAAGTCTAATTCATTACATTTTACTTATCGACTCATCACCTTGATCCATAAACTTCTTCATCACTCCTACTTTTTTCATAATTCTACATTTTTAGCATGTCAACGGTTTGGGCAGCGATTATAAAGCATCATCATTTTGTACACATGAAGAAAATGTTAAACTATCGCGTAAGCACATCGTGGTTTTTCTACTTGAATAATTTATCAAGTTATTTATTTGAATAATTTCAAGAAGAACTTTATTAAAACGTCGTTCATTTAAAGATTAAATTGTTTGATTTGAATTGGTTTATTTATCTCTCTCTGAGAAAATCGATCAGTGAATTAAGTGGTTAACAACTAAAATTTCTGTTATTGCATTTCAACTTAATCTTGGAAGACATTGTGATGTCGAGACACCTATTCAGACACTTTTTCTTACAGAGCTTTTCATTTTAGATTCGAAGATGACTGTATTAATATACGAGTTGCTCTGTTGAATAATAAATATACTGGCCAATAAACACATGTTATCAGATATTTACTAAATGTTAATGTATACTGTTTTACATTTCTTTAGAGAAATTCTATGATTGTTGATCCTGTGTAGTACATACTACCAATAATTAGTTCTTCACGATTTTTATGATAAACATTGAAGTATTGTATTAATCTTGTGGAAATCCAAGTGTTTATTCAAGAAACTTTCAGTCAGAATATTGCATCTAAATGAAAAGTGATACGTACTTATATTTTTCACTCATGTATCACTGAATTAAGCCTTTATTGATCTTCTGAACAAAATCTTCAGTACAAACATCAGGTAGAAGTAAAGTATTCCGAATTCTGCACAGATGATATGGTCGGTCAATATTTCCAGTGTTTATTTAATTCTATGCCAAAATATGAAATAGGAACACTGGACTAAGCAACTCCAATTTAATGATCATCATGTTTTCTGTGAGATGTATTGTTGATAAGTACTGATTGTATTCTTCTTGAAACTGTGTAGTTTTGTCACTTAATAAGCTACTAGCAATAGTTTTTGAGTTTGAGAAATGCAAACAATCTTTTAAATGCTAAACTGTAATTCAAGTAAGTTTCATTGAACAGTGTTATCAAAGACAAAAATGAAAATTCAAAAGTAACTTCCTGGTGTATTTATTATTTTGCCTATGAGTTATGCACAGGTTGTGCCGAACTTTCATTTAGACGATGAACGGAATATAAATGAATTGTAAGATTGTGTCTATTTATCTCTTCATTTATTAGGGCTTTTTGATGGCTAAATGTGATACTTTTCCTAAATAATGATGTTGCATTGTTAATGTCTATCCAGAACTCGAATATTTTTGATTTTAATTGATCAAGAATGCATGAGTCTTGTTTGTCATGCGTATATTCCATGCTTTCGTCTGTGAACCACACTATGGCACAGCTTGTTTAATGAACCAAAATGAGGTGGACTGGTTTTATGACCTATAACCTGGATAAATTACAATGTACAGTTTTCCGATTTATTTCTGCTTTACTCAGAAAAATGGATCAACTACTAGTGATTTAAATGGTTTGTAAAGAAGTAGTTGGCCTCCATTAAAATCACACAATTGTTCTAGAAATGTGGGCAAATTTTTTACATGTCATCAGGTCATTTTTTTCAGCATCATGTCATTCAGCTTTTTATCTGATCAAATATTAACAATGTTGATCGATTTGTTTAGTTCATATAAATCATTATGTGAATAGATGGAAACTAATTATTTGATTATTTGAAATTGATTTTACACATCAGATGAAGGCGTTAATCGATATTATCAAACTTATGGAGACAAGTCTATTTGTATTGAACATAGAAATCGTTGGACATATTATAGCCACAGTTATATGTATACTTTGGGAGAGTATTTAAAAGGGAGTTGTCACAAAGTGAGATTTTATAGTCATTTTATGTTAGACATTGTCTTTATATTTAAGTTTCAAGTTTCAAGAAATTAAATTCTCTAACACATATTCTCAAAGACCAGATATTGTGAATATCTAACCTGACAAAGGTTCTGAAGTAGTTGTAATGAATAAATGTGACCATACAGTGAAAATGTTATCCAACCTTAGTGATGAAAGAATGTTTTCGACGAATATTTCATCTAATAATTGAAATCGAGAGATAACAACACTCTAAACAAGCTCCATGAAATGAATGTCATTAACATGGAGGAATTTTACTTTATTCACTTACGCCTGTTACCCCCAATGGAGCATAGGCCGCCCACCAGTTTTCGCCAACCAACTCTGTCCTGGGCTTCCCTCTCCAGTTCTGTCCAATGTTTTTTCATTCTTCTCATATCTCTCTCTATTTCTCGGCGTAGTGTGTTCCTTGGCCTTCCTCTTCTCCTTTTGCCTTGAGGGTTCCATGTGAGGGCTCGTCTCGTGACGCAGTTGGGTGCTTTTCGTAGTGTATGTCCTATCCACTTCCACCGCTTCTTCCTGATTTCCTCCTCCACTGGAATCTGGTTTGTTCTCTCCCACAGTAGGTTGTTGCTGATCATTTCTGGCCAACGAATCCGAAGTATTTTGCGTAGACAGCTATTAATAAACACTTGTATCTTCTGAATGATGGCTTTGGCAGTTCTCCATGTTTCCGCTCCATACAGTAGAACTGTCTTCACAAACATGGAGGAATGGAAAATGCTAAAACCCACTGATTATCAAAAATTCATAAACCTAATAATCCATGAAGACCAGTATTATCTATGTACGGTTGACCTACAAATGAACGAGTGAAATGGTTAGCTAAATTACTCATCCCAGTGAGTAATAAATTAAAAGATACATTTGAACTAACTGACGTTGTTGATGACATTAATATTAAAGGAAAGACTATGCATTCTTTTGATGTGTTAAGTGAGCCCATCAGCAAGGTTACACTTTACGGAAGATTTATAGATGATATCCTGGCTATATGTGATAACGTTCTCGATGTCTCTTGGCTACTGAATAATTTCAATAATCTGCAGAATCAGATAGTCTTGACTCACGAAGCTGAAATTAATGATCGACTGCGTTTTCAGACATGTTGTGGAGTCGAAAGGAGGATACAACTATAAAATGGTCAGTTTATAGGGAACCAACCTGAACTAGACATTACTTAAATTTCGGCAGTTTTAGTCTGTTGCTACACAAACGAGGCTTGGTAAAATGCCTCTTCAATAGGGCACAAAGAATATGTATTACCGAAACATTTGAAGACAATGCGAAATTCTAGACTGAAACTTTGATTTCTATATATATATATATATATATATATATATATATATATATATATATATATATATATTAAGTGGCTTCAAAACCAGTTAACTTCAAATGACCCGATAAACATGGGAAATAGAAAACCACGTTCATCAATTGCAAAACACATGGGAAACAGGGCAGAAGATTGACATTAGGATAGACTTTAAAGCATTGTGTAAAGCGTTCATGAACGAATTTGGAGCTTTATGAGAATCTAGTTAACAATTTTGAATTTACCCTGGTAATCTGCAAGTCATTTTATGGCGTAGGGTGATGTGACAATTTCCTACCTCTTTCCTATTCTTTCTATAATTTTCTCTCCCCTTCATTTAAAATAATCGAGCGTACTTCCAGGCAACTTACACAACGAATGAGTGAACATCTCCCAGCATGGTTTACGAAGGGTCAGTCAAAAACAATACGCAGTTCTATCTTAGCACACTTGGTAGATAGTGGTCACATTGTAGATAAATCTAGATCTTTTCGGGTGATCTATCGTATACCTCCATCATTTCCCAACGGAGTTCGATCCCGTCTCCTACACATTGCAGAAGCCATAGGAATACGTACATTCAACCCTAATTTATGTGTTCAGAAGAAATTCGTGACACCCCTATCTCTTCCGTGGCCGGATATGACGTAACTAATGATTGATATATTTTTATTTTTATTATTTTTGATTTATTATTTTATTTTATTTTTACACATTTGCTTATTACGTAATGTTTTTGATGATTATTTGAATTCTATTCATCCACCCTTGACCTACTTTAGTTATCATATTTTATAAATTTTCCTACTACTATCGGTTCACCTATCTTCCTACTATCCACTTGTACTTTTGCCTTTTTCATTTCATTGTGATTATCACTCAAATTGCCTTGATCGGTTTAACATTTTCATATATAAATATTCATGTATATTAGAGAGTAAAGCCTGATGACGATCTAATCGAAAACAATAATATTGTTCGCTTATATGTGTTGTTCTAATTTTCACAATGGGAATCTTTAAAATTTTATCTAATTGACCTATTATTAATCTTCATATAAAATGCCTTGATAAGTGTGTATGTGTCACCGAGCAGCGCAAATACATCACAGTTTCACATCAAATACGTCTTCTGTATATTCTCTCTGAAAGTTCATTTTGTGCATGAAAATTTATATGACAATAAAAAATTATTATTAATTCGTAATGTACGCTACACTTGTTTATTTTCAACGTAGTATATTCAGTCCAACGCTTTAGTGCATAATATACGTAACTTCTTGCAGTGTGTCTTCATATGTATTTATTTATAGTATGATACTAATTGTAGAATCGTTATATATTTCAGTATAAATGTTATTCAGATGGAACACTTGGTTTATATTTTAAAAGTTCAACTGTGAATTGTACAAGAAAAGACGAACCGGTCAGATTCAATGTGTCCGATATAACAACAAGACTCACTGGTGAAATTTTATGTCCTAATATCAGAAGATTTTGCAAGGTACATATGTGTATGGGCAATAGTGAAAAATGTTTTATTGAAATTCGATTGAAATTACTACTAATTCAATTTCAAATAGAAAGAAATACTAAAGTTTTTTTAGATTTTGAAACATAGAGGATATACAGAGACTTTTATTAGATCCTTAACTATTTCATGAAAGTTTTATCAATTATACATCACTAGACTAAATGCAAATATTTTTTTATATGATTTTGCACATTCTAAGAATCCAACGTCAATTAACCTGTTGTATTACCACTTGACTGAATGTTTACTCAATATATTTCAGTGTATTATAAAGGATTTTAGCATTAATGCTAATACATTTTGATGTTACAAATAGATTAACGTGATGTGGAGTTGTTAGTGTATAATTTTCGATCATTATAGAAGAGTAATGGTCATTGTAGTGTTTTTTGACAGTTGAAAGCATGAACTAATCTTAGCCAGGAAGAGTCGTATACTATGATGAAATGATCATTAAGTGCTTCCAGCTTTTAAATTGTAGTCTAACAAAGTTTAATGCTTGATTTAACCTTACAGAATATGCATTAAATGAACTAAATTCCAAACAGTTTTCCTAAATTCTACAGATTAAATTATTCTGTCACACAACAGTGGTATAATAGACTGGAATTTTGGGACATATACGACAATTAACAAAGAAATTATGATTCCATAAGACCAGTGGATAGAACGAGAATAATTATGTAGAAACAACTGTACGGTAATTAAAAAGAAGGGATTTGTGACTGATCTAACAAGATACGAATAAGCATAAATGATTCATTTGTGTAATACTTTGAGATATTTGTGTAAATGTCAATAAAACAAACCAAAAAATGGGCATATTGTTGAATAGGCTAATTTCTAGAGATAATATCTTCCAAAGAAAATAGCTTTTCAGAGAATTATACACAATATATAAAACGATTTTTTATATCATTCTGTATGTGAAAAGTTAAAATCAATTTATTCATAAGTTGATGCAGTTTTCAAAATGTCTACACTTATTCACTGAACATTTTAAGAAAAAAATTATTTCGTTTAAGAAAACTTTTCATTATAGAGTTATGGAGATTGTTGTTTATAAATGAAATGTGAATTAATCATTGTTAGGCCATCCTCATAAACCTGAAAGCGCCGGACGACTGCTTCGTCCTGGTATGGGACTCATCAGCTGTGTGCATGCACACCTCCTGATACTAGCTACTTGTATTTGTTTTCATCTCAGTTATTTTGTAGACATTGATTTTGAACAAAATGATTTTGTTCAGTATAAAATAGTTGGATTCATGAAATGTTTTGATTAAATTCTTTTTCAATGAATCGCTTTCTTTTATTGTCTATAAATTATAATTCCCGATTTAGAAATATTAATCAATAAATGTCTTTTTTTATCTTCCAGGTAAAAACTTGATACTTCCATGCTAAGAATCGATAACATTGTGATACTTGAAAACAAAAAATGCTCAATTTGACATTCTGTATTATAAGGAAATAACAATAAAAATAATAATAATTCATTATTCGATTGATTTCATTGTTGAATTTTCTATTTCAATCCAATAGTCATGTTAACTTAGTGAAACAGTTGAAGTAATTTCATGTTTAATTGAAGAGTAATTCAATGGCGATGTGTTAACAGTCAATAAGTTTTCCAGTGTTTATGTTAAAATTGTCATGGCTGAATTTTCAAATTAATTGCTACTCTCGTCTTCGACTATTCTCGCAATAAACAGTCAGTAGACAGATTCGAACTACTGAAGTAATAGTCATATAGATAATTTGTGAAAATGCATAGATTACAAATAGACTGTCGTTAATTACCATCAATCGTCTATTGCCAGCAGATAGAAATCTTAATTAAAATTTGTACATAACAAGTAATTAGTAGTATGTAATTAATTCATATGAGAAATTTATTGTTTGGAAAACAGATTAACACTTGCTGAGACATAATTCATGTTAAAAATTAGACGTATGAATCGTGCAAATGGCCAAAAAATTTATATAAATTCATTTTCACAACTGTGGTACCCACTTTTACTTTGACGTACATACTCGTCATATTGTTCCGGTTTACTTAAGATCAAATAAGTTGGGATGATAATTTCAAACACAGATAGTTATTGGTATTTGGTTTTCAATGTGTTCAGTGACAATCACTTCATCGTAGATTACGTTGATCTTCTACAGTCGAAACAGTGATTCACAATGAAGAATTTCCGGTTAAATTCTGATATCTATAATTAGTAAATTTAGCTCTTGTAGACAAACAGTTACTTTAATAAACAACCCTTCATTCCATACTTTGAAAGAGAGTACGAATTGAGATGCTTTTCATTGAATAGTCTTTTGTATAATTTTAAAATCTAAGTCGTACGCTTTTATAAATTTAATTAATTGAAGAAGTCATCAAGTTACAGTTTGACTGTATTATTTAGGATGTGGAATTCTTGAAGAACTGAATAACATATTTTAGATTATTACTAAAACGAAAAAATTTAGTTTGCTTTTGAACAAGGATATATAAAAGAAGATTACATAGATTAGTTGAGATTTGTAAAAACACTTAGGAATTAAGGGATTATACGCTTGACACATCAAATGAATGGTTATTGCACAAACTACTTCTTGATTTAGGTTACATGAAAAACGGATTGTGTGAAAGTATATTTTTGTTAAGCTAATAGGTGGCAATGCACCCACTGCTAAGAGAATAGTTTCAGATATGCTAGCACATAACTTACCGTTATCCATCGTGGAACATAGGCCACTAACAAGCCTTCTTCAACTTACTGTGTTCTCCACTCTCTTTTCCAACTGTTCCCAGTCGCTATTTATTCTTCTCATATCTGTTTCCGATTTTTGACTCATTATGTTCGTTAGTTTGCCTCTTGTTCTTCATTTTCGAGGATTCCAAGTAAGGGCTGGGTGATTTCTGCAGTGCATCTCCTATCAGCCATCAGCGCTTTTTCTTCATTTCTTCATCACCCGCAATCTGGTTCGTTCTCTTTTACAGTGGGGTGTTGTTGGTGTTTTCTGATCAATGAATCTGTGGGATATCGCATAGGCAACTTTTAATAATCATTAGCACCTCGTAGATGACAGCTTTCGTACTTCTTCAAGTTTCTGCTCCATACTACAAGCCGCTTTTGACATGTGCATTGAAAATCCTGACTTCGGTGCTAGCATATAACACTGACCCCTAATAAAACGTGAAGTCAGTTTTCCGAGCCAGAATTTCTAATGAGAGAATAAAGATTCCTTGTGATCTTCATAATGGGAAATCTTGCTAACTAAGCGTGTCGATATTTTTTGAAATCTCTTGGAGTCAATTTACGTCAGAACTAACAAAAATAATTACTTGTAAATATAATATTACACATCAGCGATCAGTTAAAAGTACGATAGAGTTGGTAAAAGTCATATGATGGTAAGACATAGAGAAAAGTTAACTATTCAGTCAAGCTTGAACTCGATCTAGAGTTTTTATAGAGCAGTATTATTTGTCTTAATCATGACATGTCTCCTATTATAATGTTGAACTAAAGAAGTCGAAACGATACAAATGTTTTCAGTAAACTGGTAATTAGCCTTTTATCTCGCTGAAAGTCTAATAGTCGCACCTGAAGATACATGATAAAACACAACTAACTGAACACCGATTCAAAAATGGAGCAGATAAATAAATTATTACTGCACAACAAAATAACCAAACAGTTTTGCGCTCGGAAAAGTTTATCCATTGACAACCACATTAAAACAGATATCATAGAAAATCGTGCTGATTAAACTGTCAGCTATTTTTAGAAAAGAGGTGGCATACTCAGAGTAACATGGATTGTCTATTTATCATTTTACTGTATTCTTAGTTCACTTAAATAGCCCTACGACGGTGCTTATCTTACTGTCCGAAGAAATTTCATGAAAAAATTTCAATAAAAGATCTGAGAGTTGTACTGATCGTCACAATCCTAAACTTTATGCCAATTATATTGTTTCCCTTTCTTACTGACTACGTCATTTCAAACTAAACTTCATTATTTATGGTATTGAAAACTTGGTTTATCATAATATTACTAACATAAATGAAAATCATTTGCAGCGTGTTCCATAGGAGATCAAGTGACTAACTTGTACTGTTCATCATCAAACCTCGATTTACTCTAATCAGCATAATTATTACATTTTTCATTTTTTATTAAACATTTTCAAGCTTAATCTCATTAACCTAAACAAGTGTCATCAAATTTCATCACGTAACTCGTCGAGTTCTCGACAAAAAACTAATGTACATAAAAATCGTTTATATTTATCGAGTGAACTAGCTGTGAATGCAACTCACAAAATCAATTGTCTGATATTTATGCCCTAAAACAACGATAAATGTAGTTGGTAAGTTTCAATCTCATAAAAAAACCACTGACAAATTTCATTTTGTGTTTTACCACTAAGTGATCACCGACATTTTACTAATGACTTAAACAAAGCAGCCTCTTTTAATCTTACAACCATGATTGTCAAAATTTATCATGCAACATAGTAATCTTATAAATTAATTTCGATTTCAAAATTAGTATTGATAGTAGTTTCAAGCAAAGTAGTTATTCAATGTTCAAAATGAAATCATCAAAAATAACCACTCATGGTAATTAACATTTATTAATAATTACGAAAATAATTAACAATGAAGATTAAAAATTAAATAAAATTAATTAAATATTTATAATTATTGTTTTGTGTTTAGATCAATTAAAGTTGCATATTCATTGTTCAATTGATCTACGCTTGTTCTGTTAAAAGAGAAATAAGTAGAAAAAGAAACAGAATGATTATTTTATCAATGAACAAATGATTTTTCAATTCTCTATAATGAAACAATGAAATAATTTGAATAATTAACATTGAACAACACATATAAGCGAACAATATTATTGTTTTCGATTAGATCGTCATCAGGCTTTACTCTCTAATACACATGAATATTTATATGAAAATGTTAAACCAATCAAGGCAATTTGAGTGATAATTACAATGAAATGAAAAAGGCAAAAGTAAAAGTGGATAGTAGGAAGATAGGTGAACAGATAGTAGTAGGAAAATTTATAAAATATGATAACTAAAGTAGGTCAAAGGTGGATGAATAGAATTCAAATAATCATCAAAAAACATCAAAAACATTACGTAATAAGCAAATGTGTAAAAATAAAATAAACAATATGATGCCAATCGTTAGTTACGTCATATCCGGCCACGGAAGAGATAGGGGTGTCACGAATTTCTTCTGAACACATAAATTAGTGTTGAATGTACGTATTCCTATGGCTTCTGCAATGTGTAGGAAACGGGTTTGAACTCCGTTGGGAAATGATGGAGGTATACGACAGATCACCCGAAAAGATTTAGATTTATCTACAATGTGACCACTATCTACCAGGTGTGCTAAGATAGAACTGCGTATTGTTTTTAACTGACCCTTCGTAAACCATGCTGGGAGATGTTCACTCATTCGTTGTGTAAGTTGCCTGGAAGTACGCCCGATATAGCTATCTCCACAGGAGCAGCTGAATTTGTAAATGCACATAAAGGAGGCCAAATTTTCCTACTACTATCTGTTCACCTATCTTCCTGCTATCCACTTGTACTTTTGCCTTTTTTCATTTCATTGTGATTATCACTCAAATTGCCTTGATTGGTTTGAACATTTTCATATAAATATTCATGTATATTAGAGTAAAGCCTGATGACGATCTAATCGAAAACAATATTGTTCGCTTATATGTGTTGTTCTAATTTTCACAATGGGAATCTTTAATTAACATTGAAACAAAATGTTTTTATGAAATTATTTTGAATAATTTTTGTTTTATTCAATGATATCCAAGTTTGAATTAATTTATCAATTATGGAATAAAAACTTTCGTCATTCACTAATGTATATCAATCTTCGATACTAAATATGCTACACGTATGTAAAAAAAAATTGTAGTAATGAATGCATTTCGAATTGATCGAACGTTTAATTGAATTACACCAGCTCATAGCTCAAGTTGTGAAAAGATCTATGTGTCTACGACAATGAACAAATTCATAATTGAAACAGATCATACATGAACTCCAATTTTTCTATCTTGATTTGATAATAACTGGTAATTATTAGCTATTACAATCTTCATCATTACTATTTATCTTTTTAAAACACAGTAGAAGACGTAGTTTTAAAGAATTTTCGTTTTCCTGATATTTTAAATTCTGATGATAAAACAGTAGCATATTTTAGGGGTAGGCTTATTTTCAAAATATAATTCATATTCTTACTCTGCAAACCATGTTAGCATCAGGGCAGATTATTTCGCCTTGAATTTGTTTAGTTTGAATTTTGGCTACTCCTGAATTACACGGGAATGGTTGACCATTAATAATTACTTGAACACCACCAGAACATGAATACTAAATGTGAATGGAAAAAGATCAAACAGTGAAAGAGAGTTAACGAAACATTAAATATATGTTTTTAAAATTTAGCATTTGAATGTTCTTCCTAATATTCTTCACATTGCAACTAACTGATCTCTTGTCTAGTAATGTGATAGCTTCTGGTATCTTGAGACCTACTGTCCTGAAAAAAACGTTTTCATTCACATCACGCGACCTACCAACTTTCAACCAACTGCCAACTGACTAGAATTATACAGTCAAGTGGCTAGACCGTTGGACTAACAAACACCTGTAATCGTACCGAAAGAACGGGAATCGAGCGCAAAGAAATCAATTGGTTTGCACTAGCTCATGAAAAACATATTGGATATTGGAAGCATATGTGTGACCAGATTAATTTTGAAATATTTAGCGCAAATACTTCACGTTTTCCAGATCAATTACGTTTTCTCACTGTGTTATCAAGAATATTATTAACTCCCAGTGGAAATAAATCAATTAATCTGGTTTGAAATAAGTTAATATTTAGCGTATGATAACCTCATACAAACAGCTTAGCCATTCTTTGGTTCATAAAACCTAATTTATATCACTAGGATAATAGATCTGACTGTTTAGATATTTTTAAAGAACAATATCACATTTTCTTCAAGATTACCTGATGGCAAGTTGCTTTCACTCGAGGATCTTGTGATGCTCTCCCATTCATTTCAGCTCTCCATGCTCCTTTATGCACAATACACGCCGAATTATTTCCAAAATCTTGAGCAAACATATTTCCTTTTTGAGCTGTGAAAACAGGAATCAGAAAATTCACTTTTCTTAACAAAATGTATGCATGGTGTATTTGGTTGTTTAGGACTCGGCCTGAAGCCTTTCTGAAGCACTATTGGTCCCAAACCGGATAAAGTAGGAGGTTTCGATGTGCGATTTGCAACCACATCTCGTAGAAATCCAAATCGCTAAAACAACGCTAACCTGAATGAATAATTTGCTGTCTGGCGACCTAGGCTTCATTAGAAGTTGGTGGATTCATTAATTAAATATTCTTTAGATTTGTGCGTTTTCTATTCATTCAAATTTTTTGTCTTTATATAATTTTTAATTGTCGCCGAATAAATTCTATTCACATATTCACATTCATATTCTATCACTGAAGCGGTATCGATTTCTTTCATTCAAAAAACCAATTTCACTAGATATTTATAGAAACTATCGAAATGTCTCTGTATCTCATATCAGTTCAGTGTAAATATGTTTTTGGATGTTAAGGAAAATGTTATTAAAATTGATGTTTCAGTTGAATACTCTTTATCAATAAATATACTCTGGATTAAAATACTATTGATATCTCTACTTCAATCGATGTGATGAATCTTCGATTATTGATTTTCAGTATAAATATTAAATTGACTATGAATAATATTTTCTTTGATTCTCCTGTTATTTCTCACTTACATTAACTTGTATTATTGATTTTTCACGATTTACATTTTATCAAAGATCAATTCTTAAGAATTTTAATTTAAACTAAGCACTTACCAACAGGAATGTTTAATTGATGATCACAGTAAGTCATAAATGGTTCATTGAAGAATTTCCCCATAGGCTGTATTTAAGGGATAAAATGAAAAATTTGCAAAGACTGATTTTTTGACTAAAGATAGGCAAGTTCAAACTAGTTCAATGGGTGGTTTCCATAAAGTTTATTACAATCCAGTCCAATATATTCTTGATTAAACAGTGAAGACATAAATCTGATTTATCGAAAAGACGAATACAATTATCTTATCAACAAATTGGTTTTCCCCGAAACGGCTTTACTTATTGACTATCTTAACTCTGCCTTGGGTCCCTGTAGGGCTACTGCCGGTTCGAAGCCTGGATAAAGTAGGAGGTTTGAACATGGGGTTGGCGACCCCATCTCATAAAAAAACTAACTCGCTTAGAAAAATGGTAACAAGAAAGCATTGTTCAAGTTAAAGGTTCTTCATTCAGAAGAGTTATAACGTATCTTGATTAAAGCCGAGTTCTTTCGTAATTCATGGGGCCGATGCCCGTTCTGATAACCAGAGAAATCATTCTTTTAGGTAAATAGAAAGTTCGAACATCATGGGAGACCGGAAGACTATTCCAAGTTGCTGCAGAGATGAAAATATACAACCTGGAGGTGTTTGGAATCAATGAAAAACATTGGATGCAATTCGGACAACACACAAAAGAAGTCGCACTGACGCTGACCAAACGAGCACAAAAGGCATTGATAGGATTGGAAGATCATGGACCTAGGATCATCAAAGTATCCTTCAAAACAAAGAAAGAGAGCAATACAATGAAAATCATCCAATGCAATGCACCTACCAACGATTTCAGTGACGACGTTAGAGATCAATTATACGAGAGGCTGCAGTCAATCATCGACAGATGCTTATGAAATGATTCGGTCATTCTGATGGGAGACCTAAATGTCAAGGTTGACATGGACAACATCGGATATGAAGACATCATGGAACGAAAATGACTGGGAGAAAGGGAGGAAAACGATGAGAGATTTGCAAACCAATGTCCCTTCAACGAAATGGTCATCGGCGGCTTAATATTCTCACATAAAGGCATACACAAAGTCTCATGAATTTCCTCGGATCACACTACACAGAACTACATCGACCATATCTGTATCAATAAAAGTTCAGAAGGAGGATGTAAGAACCAAGACAGGAGCTGATAAAGCCTCAGATCACCACTCGCTACTTGCCAAAATGAAACTGAAACTCAGGAGGCACCGGAAAACGGGTCAGACAACACCACAAAAGTTCAACACAGAGTTTCTTCGGGATGCTCGAAAGCTCAATGAATTGAAGATAGCTTTCAGTAGTAGGTTCCAGGCCTTGCACGGTCCACACAATGGAGAGTAAACAAATGTGGGAAACAATTGGAAAAGGATGAAGGCGTCAGTCACTCCGAAATGTTAGGAGGTTCTAGTCCACAAGAAATAGTATCACAAGAAATGGATGTCTGTCGATAACCCTAAAAATATTCAAGGAATAAGGAAAAAGAAGGAAGCGATTAATATCACCTGAAAAAGAGCAGAGAGAGTCAAGGCACAAGCTGCATACACAGAAGTGAACAAACATGTGAAAAGGAGCATCATGAATGACAAACGTAAAAAAGTGGAAGATATAGCAATGACGGCGGAAAAGGCTTCAAGAGAAGGAAACTTGAGACAATTGTACGATACAACAGAGAGACTCACTGAAAACCATCGTGAACCGGAACGACCAGTAAAAAGTAAGGAAGGCAAAGTAATCAGCAAGACTGAAGAACAGCGAAACAGGTGGATAGAGCACTTCAATGAACTCTTAAATCGACCAGCTCGACTGAACCAAACCAACATTGACACAGCATCCATGGACATCCCAATCAATGTTGGCCTGACAACAAGTGAAGAGATCGGCCTTGCCGTCGGACAAAGCAAGAGCGAAAAAACAGCATGACCAGACAACATTACAGAAGAAACAATGTAAGCAGATGTCGCAGCAACTGCAAAAACATTCCACTCTTACTTCAGCAGGATTTAGGATTTAGGACCAGTACCAGCAGACTGGAAAGAAAGATACCTCGTCAAAATACCAAAGAAAGGCTATCTCAGCAGGTGTGAAAACTACATAGGCATCACTCTTCTCTCACTTCCAGGCAGATTCATCAACAGGGTATTTTTAAACAGAATGAAGGACTTCGTAGACGCCCAATTTCAAAATCAACAGGCTGCATTCCGTAATGATCGATCGTGTATCGAACAAATCGCAACATTACGGATCATTATGGAACAATCAAGTGAATGGAACTAACCACTCTGCATAAACTTCATCGACTATGATAAAGCATTCGATAGTGAGGACAGGACAACACTATGGAGGCTTCTTCGACACTACAGTGTGCCTGAGAAAATATTCAACATCGTACGGAATTTTTAAGATAGGTTAAACTTCAAAGTCGTGCACGGAGCTCAGCTGACAGACTCGTTTGAGGTGAAGAACGGTGTCAGGCAAGTTTGCTTTCCCTCAACCTTTCTCTTTCTCCTTATGATCGACTGGATTGTGAAGACGTCATCATCTGGAGGGAAACACCGTATACAATGGACAGACAGGATGCAGCTGGACGATCTTGGAATCCTTAAGGTCGAAAGAAAATAGGAAGGCTAAGGCACTCATTACGCTGAGTAATGGAGACAGACATGACAAGAATAAACAAAAATTGGACAGAACTGGGAAGGGCGGCTGTGGACAGAGTAGGTTGAAGAAAACTGGTCGGTGTCCTAAACTCCATTTACGGATGACAGGAGAAAGCAAACGCACTCTTGTCCATATTCGTCATTCATTGTTCTCACACGGGTAACACTTTACGATCACACAGAACGACTCAGCTGTAACATCTTAGGGACTTCTCATAGCTTGACAAATTGTACTTAATCAGAAATAAAACGCAGGATTTTTGAACCTTCTGAAGAACATCTAACCATTAGAACTACTTTTTGAGCGCTTAATCATGAAATTCAGACTCCACTATGCAGTTCTGTAGAGTTTCATCCTAGGTGAAAACAAATGTTTTATACTTACCAATGTTTACTAATAGGCCTAATGAGATTATTCCGTCTCGTTAACAGCCTATGAATTTTTTTCCGCTTAATAATTACAATAATTGACATTTTTAAACAAAATGCTTACTTTTCAATGAGATACTAACCTGAATCATAGGACACCTATCTGTTAATACACTCGTACCTCCTTGAACAGGATCTTTGAAATATTGTTCTTCTGGTGGTAAGCGCTGAGCGAATCGTCCAACAGCACAAATGCCAAATGCTTTCTGATGGTAGCATTTTAAAGTATCTGGCTCATCACAGTAGGGTTCTGTACTTTTTCCTCTAAAATACATAACAAACTGTTAGCAACTTATTCAAAACACAAGTGAATATTAATTGCAACTAGGTGACTATCTCAATAATAATAATAATAATAATAATAATAATAATAATAATAATAATAATAATAATACTATTTTCAATAGAAGACAAAAAGGATTAATATATAGAAACAAAATATCAATCTCACGCTTGTTTCATTCGCATCAAGTATGCATAACAACTTTCCATGACAAAACTACAACCTAAATTCTTTCCATAATACCATGGTTCAGCCAATGAATAATCAACATCCCACCAACTAAATGAAATTATAATAATAAAACAAAAAATTACCGACTACTGGATTATGTTGTAATAAATACATGAGTAATCAAATGAATACATTGAAAAGAACTGATAATTACACTCTTGATTTGTTACAGTCTATATGTTTGATTAAAAAGCATATCAAGGTATTCATAGAGAAGTTGAGCATCTATCTACCAGCCAACGAAACAACACATTGGTTGCAATATAGCAATTATATTGCAGTCAGCGAGTTCAATCCAGTTCAGTGATGAAATTATGAACAAGAATAATTGTTGTGTGGCTTTTAATCCCTGTTTGGAATAGTGATATTTGACTAGTTTACTGCACAACCATGGTGATTTTGAAATGAACACAATTTATTCGCGTATTATTTAGTGATTTGAATGAAGCCTTAGTAGTCAGTGGAATAATCTTTGGATGCATGCCATTTTCAAAATATTTAATCCGATAAGATAGAAGGTATCCAAATGAAATACTCAAGATCATACAAGAAGCAGAAGAAATGCAATGTGACATAGTATAGTTGAATCGATTGAACTTACCCAGAGTCTGTGAAAAATGCCAATGTAAGCCGTGATAGTACAGTTTTCACTCCTGTAACACCAGCCATTGTTTCGTCCTGAAATATATGGAAATATATTACAAGTATATAATTGACTCATCAAATGACTGTTTAACCCATTTAATTTTTCCGGGCAGAGTTTTGAAGGTTTGTGTTTTTACACATTTAAAATCATTAATCAATCATTGTTAGACCATCATTAGAAACCTGGAAGCACTGGACGGCCCTTTCGTCCTGGTATGGGACTCATCAGCAGTGCGCATCCACGGCTACTGCAGTAACTACCAAAGACGAATGGGTGATGTCGCGCAAAATCCGTAGAACAATCAGAGTTAGACATTAACACCATCGAATTACGGCCCAGAAGTCCGATGGTCAGGCGTTCGCTCACAATACTGAATGTCTCGGGTTCGAGTAATGGGAGTTGCAGTAGTCGTGGATGCGCATCTTAATTTTGCCTCAAAGATTTAAATTAGATAGTATCACTGTAGTCTATATTTCTAAGTATTTCTACACTGAATAATCCTTGAAAGATGGCAAACACTGTCTCAGTACTAAATTACTCATGTAAATCAGTCCATCATATCCTATTTTGAAGGAACATGAAATAATTGTGCACTTGAGCCGGAACGGGATGTTAAAGTTTTACCTACTTGTAGCACAGACAGTTATTCATTTACCTTACACCATTCCTTCATCACTAACTATGCACGTTTCTTTAAAATGTAACAATTTATTTAGTTTAGCTTAATTCTTAATTCTCATATAATGTACTTGTTATGCAAAATTATATTCATGGATTCTATACATAGATAATTTTTTGGAGTCCACGTAAAATTATACATATTTGAGGGAGCCGCATATCTATTACACGTATTATCGTTAATTACCAGGTTTCTCGATCGATCTAATTATAACTTTGTTTATTTTAATCAAACACTTTACTACGGTAATTAAACGGTAATTAACAATACAACTTACACCAACCACTCTCTTTTCAAAATGTGTACCGACTGTTCCTGCTCCACCTTCATTTTCTATGTCAAGTCCATCCAAATTAGGGCAGTTGAAGTGTTTGCGTGCTTCTTCCTATGTGAAAATGTAAAAAAAATCATTTTTTTTCATGACGTCAAATGAAATTCGAAAAAATGGTAGATCTATGAGTTAATTAATGTTTTTTTATGAAGTAATCGTCTTTTTCTATTTGCGTTGTATAACTACAAGAATTGCCCAGTATAAGCAGTGTTATAAATGAACCATTCGCAGTTTCAACAATGTGATACACATTAGAAATCAACGATTCCCTTGTTCATCCTTAGTGATGCATTTAACATAAAGTAATTCGACAGTATGTGATCTGTAGATCCAATGTTAGTCTACTCTGATAACAGTGAAACTTGTATTCTAATCAGATCTTCGCCTATTGAGTATTCAGTATAATATTATTTGAAATACGCCCACGTATATTCGTCGATTGTTAAGCATTATGAACAAATGAAGTTCCTAATGTTGAATAGTTGAGAAACTGAACTATTGTATAAAAATAAGAAAAGAATATGTTTCAGCATAACTCACAAGTATGGCTGGTGTAACAAACGATAAGAAAGGTTTGGAAAATTGTCCAGCAGCTGTAACCCACGGACGGTTGATAAGTTTGACTGTATTTTCACTGAAAAGGAATAAAATCGTAGAGAAATAAACTAGCCTTTGATGTAACAGCCTCATTTACCTCAACAAATCCGAGTTGAACTAAAAAAACTCTGACCCTACTCCTCACCAACGACACATATCTTCAAAAATATACGAAACTTCAGAGTCGAAGTCTCCTAGAGCTTATTGATTAATGCTTAACAACACATTTCCAACTCAGCAACGGAATCTATGAACAAGCAAAAGCAAAACCAACGGTATAACCAATATCTGGAGTTAATGCGGAAGTCTTGATTCACAGACTAGAATCAAGACAAAAAAATGGGTTCGCTATGTTGACCAGGCATTCGTCATCATTAGATAGAAAGAAACGAGCTGTATTGAACATCTACAATCGGATCAACAATGTCTTCTATGACATAAAATTCACAATGGAAAAGGAATCAAACAACAAACTACCATTCCTGGACAAACTAATCACCATACCTGACACAGAAAAACTGAAGACTCAAGTATTTTAGGGTGGCAAACCACACATATATCTAATTCTCAACTACAATAGCAACAGCTCAAGAACTCACAAAATCAGCTGGTAGCAAACATTGTTGAAGAGAGACGGAAAATAAAAATTAATGCTCTTAGTCGATTATCTGTTAATTATGAATTTCATGCAATGTTATTTTTATACAGCATCAATTGAGAAACAAATAGAAAATGAATAAAAACATTTTCACTCATAAAATCTATGACCTTACATAAGAAATGAAATCATAGGCATTAGTTTATCTCACCTTGCATCATATTGTCCTTGTTTATTCAATGGTGGCCTGCCTGATTTAGGATCTCTTGGTGTTCTTGGATTACCATTGAGATCACGCATTAATGCGAAATTTGATTTTACAAATCCCTGTAATGTTTATTATTATTATTATTATTATATTTTTGTCAAATATCAATGAATTTACATTCAGTTTAAAAGTGAAACATTTTTCATTGAAAAATATAACCTAATATACATAAAAATCATTGATAATCTTCCGAATTATAGAATTTTATCATCCACTGAATTCATTAAGAGATGATTCAAATTCACTTGAGATATGAACAAGAAAATCTCTCACTCGTGAACACACAACTTCATCTACAGAGCAGTCTGTAGCGATTCTGATGTTGTTTTCTCTTCATTGGATATTCATCTTATGATGAACTGTTGATTCGAATCAAAGTACAACAAGTTGTTCTTAAGTACTTACTGAACACATATTTGTCAATAAAGAGTAAACACTCACCAGAGCATGTCCCAATTCATGAATAGCTGTACCAATCAACATTGTTTTCCCAGGCTCTTGGATATCCATTTTTTGTGGACAGAAATTAATCGATCCCATTATTGGTCTAAAATTCAGACGTCAGAAAATATACAAATACATGTGAAAGTAATGTGTTGTATTGATAAAAAAATTGTAGTTTTACCTTGCATATTGTGTATTTGAATATTGGATGAGATATAATATTTTATGGCAGTCTGAAAGAAAACAAACTCACCACAGTTGAGTGACAACTAGGAACCACTTTCTACATAAAGTGAACATGTTCCTAAGGAATGCTTAACTAATCCTAGAGCTCTCAGTACACTAAATATAAATTATTATTATTATTATTATTATTATTGGTAGAAAATATTTAATTAACGATCAGTGGTACGCGGATATTTCAGTAAATTAACGAGAAGTTACGTCAGTGAATTAATGACTTATAAAACTTTTCATTCAAATAATCAGTTGTGCCTCATACTAGGACGAAGTGGCCATTCAGTGCTTTCAGGTTTCTAATGGTCAGCTAACAATGATCGATTCATAATTTCAATGCAACTCAACAACTCACAGCTTAAAAATGAAAATAACTGACATCGTAATTTCTTATACCTTGACTGTAATTTATGTGTAAATATTTATCAAACAACAATTTTATCATAATAATTCAGTCAATCACTCAGTCAGCGACAAATTAGAACTTGGTACACGCGTTCATCAGTTCAAGTTGTCACACCACAATAACACACATAGATGAAATCCTCATTTCAAATCCTATATCAGTAGAGGTGGTAGAAGTATTAGAGGTAATCAAAAAGATTGGGGTTCGGAGACATTATTCACAAATGTATAATTCAGTGAGATAAATTCAGGATGAGAATAAGGATGGCCATGAGGAACTCAGAACATTAGAATTTGAGCAAAGATAAATAATGCATGCATCTGCGTCATTGCAAACGATTTTGAGCCATGTCATTCAAAGTCCATAACTATCGTTTCAGACTATCTTATTGAATACAAGTAAGTGATCTCAGTCAACTTGCCAGTGACTACATGAATATGTGCTGTTTTGGCCACTCGTGACTATCTTCCAGCCTACCTCTACAGCAGAGAACATCACTCGTCGAGGTAATCAGTGGCTGGGAATACATAACACATGTGCGAATCACCTCAACTAATGAATATTCACTACTTTATGAATCGACTTGACATCGTTACCTAGAATACCTTTTCCTAACACCAGTATCGGTTCCACGATATGTGAATGAAGTGGAATAAATAATGAGTATTGTTTTTATTTATTTCAAACCTTTACTAACACACTGTATAGTTTTTGAACATCAGATGTATTGAGAAGCTCAATATACTTGACAAATGCTTCATTTCTCATCAACTAGGGAATATTTTTGAAAATTTAAGATTTGGTCTGTAGTCAAATAAGTTGATAACTGAGATCACTGAATGAAGACAACAACTAAGTTATGAATATTTCACTTAACTTATAAAGGATATCAACTTCAGTTAGAAAATCTTATTTCTAATATTGATGATTTTGAACTCATTCATCAATTAGTGTTTTTTTCAACTGCTATTAAATCGACCATTGACGAATAATTTACAATATGATATACTTTCTACTAACATGACATAAGTAGTTTTCACAATAATTGGTTCCACAAATATTCTACCGCTATATAAAAAGAAGACAACTTATTCAAAGCACTGAGAAGTAAAGCATACACTTGCCTACCTATCAGTTGTGGGATGCATTTCACAAGGACCAGCATAAGCTAATGTTGAACCGGATGTACAACTCTTCTTGTTCTCACTTTCTACAAACAGCACATATTCATTTGGTGCGAATCCTGCACCATCTTGATAAACATCTCGTATGTCGTTACCTCCTCTTCCGACAGCACATCCCTGTTATTTAAAACAAAGAGGAAAATATGTATATATCAAATGTGAAACTAAATTTTGTATGGATTATAACTCAACCGAATTTATCAACGTTTATTTGTCACCTTTGAAGTGATTGTAAAACCAACAATAAAGCAGAACAATAGTGTTAACTAGAAAAGTCTTCTATTCTAATACTTTTTAGGTAATATTTGATTTATTGAATACTTTCAAACATGAGAGTAGTATATGTAATTATGACTGGTTTCTATAAAAGTGTAAATCATCTTATCTGATAAAACAACATGAAACATCCAACCCAAATTGTTTGTGAAGTAAACTTACCGTAGCATATTGATCTGGAACTGGATGGTCGTAGCACAGAGCTTGTCGTTTACATTCTGATTGACAGAATTTTTTACCTGTTTTACCATCTGTATAAAAGACTGGTTCAGTACACCCTCTGTAAAAATGAAAATGATTAAATGTTTTGTAAAATCAGTAGTATAATAATTGAAAATCAATAGTCAAACTGAGCTAATGTTTGTATTTAGTATTTTTCTTTAAAAAACAAACAAATTAAACGGTTCAAAGTAATTCTGCATAAATTGTTCAACCCATATTCTATAATGCGACTAAATGTTTGACGAATGATGAACGCCTTATTAAAAACATCTTTCTGTATACAGAACTACTGATTACAATATTATACAATCAGATAGAATATAAACTTTGAAGGAGCTAATTCATGCATAATCGTTGCAATCCAATAAATTCAGTCAAAGGATAATGAGATTTCAGATTACTTTGTTCTTTATGCTCATATAATTTCCACTCATGATTGAAACATGATTTTGCGTGTTGTATGGAATGATAGAGAGGTTTGAGTGTGTTTTAAGATAATTCACAAGAAATTTTAAACTATTGAATATAATTAGTTACATCACTACAAAAATTATATTTTATATTCTAAATAAGTTTGTCTCATGTTGTTTATGTCAAAATTAGGGACTGGCAATACAGTGTTATTAATAGTACTTCTATTTACAATGAATGAGATAAGTAAGACTAGTTTTCGTTTTATGAAAAATAAACATTCATATGCAAACTTGACATTTTGCATGGAATATTATTAATTTTACTTACTTTTCTGGTAAAACCATTCAATTTTCTAGAAATCTTAACAATAAGTTTTCGAATGATAATATCAATAAAATATGCTTTCAATTATCTCCTTAGTTCTACTATTCCAGAAATTCATTTCAATTCTATCATTTCATTTAAATGAATGTGTCCTCATTGAAATCATGAAGTGATCAATGTTAGATCACCAATAGAAACCTGGAAGGACTGAAAGGCTGTTACGTTCCACTACTGAACTGAGTAGTAGCATTCATCCATGGCCATTCCTGCAACAAGGAATCGAACCCACCATATGCACACTCATGTGCGAATATCAAATCTCTTTATCATTGGGCTGGTTTTAAACAGTGTTAATATCTCACAATAATCAATCCATGATATTGACAGACTTCATCCATTGTCTTCGGTAGATGATTGCCTCACATCCGTTAGAGTAGAACTCCATTGGTCACGACTTATCATTAGAATTCCGATAAGTTCTTCACGAAGCTAGTCACTAGTAGTGACCATATGATTTTAAAAAATAATTCGATCTAATTTTCACAATTATATTCTAATAATTTTTACTTAAAATTGAAATAAACTATTATCAACCCAATTCACTTGATAGCATATATTTGAAAAAATCTGCAAAAATTTGACTTTAAGAACTGATCATCAACATGAAAACAAAGTGCGAATGACAATCATACTTACCTATTAATTAGCAATTTCCTATTTGGTGGTTTTCTGACACTTAAGGTTTTTTCCCAAAAACCTATCGCCTTTTCTACTACATGGGGCTAAATAAATACACAACATTATTCAAGGTAATGAAAAAAGTTATTGTACCAATAAAATCTTCGAATTCTATCAATGCAACTTGTACAAAATTATGTTTTTGAAATGGAAATCGATACGATGTTTAATAAGTTCTGTATTATTCAGAAACTAATACGTGGTAGTGAAATTTTATGTATAATTTGTTAAAAAAAATTTCTTTTGAATTGGTTGTTTCGTTTCCAATTATCGCTACACTTGTAAAACAATATTTACTGATTTTAGTCTTGTGTACAATGAAAAATGATTACATTCAGTCATTCATTCGTTATAACTTTCCGTTCTGTTAAGGGACTCGTCAGCAGTGCGCATCCACGACTCCTATTACTGGCAGATGCCGAACCCACAACCTTCGGTCTGGTGCGCTAATCAGTTAACTGTTAATCATTAACATTTTCATAATAATTCAATCACTGTCAAATTACTTAATACACTGAAAAATTAATATGATCAATTGTCAAGCATCAATGAAAGTTAAAGCAAAATAATTACTCGTAAGTAGTATATATGCAATATTACAAAAAAATGTAAAAGTAATTTAATCTTACTTTGAATTGACCGAATAAAGGATGTTTTTGTATACTTTCTCTATATATAACAATAAATTTCAATTTATTGCCTCCATATTGACGTTTATCAATTGGTTGACCTAATACACCGAAATTCTAAAAGCATACAATCACATCCACTTCAATAGAATGATACTCACCATGGTAATATTTGGCATAGTCTGACAAATATATTCAGTTCTGGTAAAAACCAGTAAACTGATAAAACATAGAAATAACAAGATAACTCTTGAACAATCTATCATTCTCACTGAATGCTCTTAAGTAATTAGTATACTGCTGGATAAGTATTATGATTTGATTATTTCAACACTTCATTTATATACTAAATCTCAGTATAATTCGTACTTATTGAAAAATGAATTATCTTGCATAAAAACATATTTATCACGGGTAATATTTGGAAATCTTGTGATTTCCAAATAAATCAGCATACATGTCTCGTACTTTTAATAAATGCAAGTTCTTTGTATTTATTTTTTGTATGGAAAAGTAATGGAAATTTACAAGCTGTGATTAGGGTAGATTTCCGATTCATGTGAAATTCTTGATTATGATTCTAGCTAAAAGACAAGCTGTAAAATATTGGTTACATTGAATAATTATGCAAATAATAATTAATAACCAGTTTTCAGAAGTAAAAAAAAACATTATACTCCAGTGCATTTTCTTAAATCATTAATAAATTGAAAACTTTTATTAAAATTGTAAGATTATTATACGAAATTCTTTGGAAAAGAAACCGAAAAAATAGTAACTTCTTGTCTTCAATGCATTACGCATTTTCATTGACGTATTATGCATATTTTACAGTTAAATATAATGTTAATAACAATTCCATGATATAAGTCAGTTTGCTAATAAAATACTAAATTAGGTATATAAAACATGTAAGATTACGATTATAACGTTGATAATTAGTTAATTTTATTTGAGCACATAAACACTGATGCAAAGAAGCACTTAAACATTTATACGCCAGCTACAAATGATTGAATTTATGAGTGAAATGTGTATACTGCTGGGCTAGCCAAATGAAAGTAAACATTTCTCTTGGGGTGCCATTCCGTGAGCCTTAGACCTAAAATGGAATGGAGCAGCAATAGGCGAGGCAGTCGCATGGTAGCCATTAAGTAACAGTCGGGTTTATACACCGTTTGCTCCACCAGGATCCTGGAACCCGTGTCCGCCATTAGGTTAGAATTAGAGTTTTCAAACCCCCCAGAGTGAATCCTACGTAACTACCAACCACAGTTTTAGTGAATAACGGTAAATCACCTTTTGTACTCTCATTTTCGTGAACACTTATACCAGCAGATGGCAATGAGTAGGATTTCCCCAGTCAGTGGTTATGCACAAGTGATCACAGGAGAATGTGTGAAGAAGTACCGTAGACTCTCTTTTCGTTCCGCCATATTTTAGCATTAGTGGATAGTTATATATTCAGACAATATCACAAGAGTACGAAATTAATGTCACAACAAAATAATCATAAGCCAGACTTGTTAAACAGATTGATGTTGAAAAATATCAGTATAATGCATTAGATAACTGACACTGGTTTCAGGCATCTACAAGATATATATATATATATAAATATATATATATGTATATATATATATATATATAGGTATTTTTTTCTCAGACTGAAATAAAGAATCAATCCATCAGATAAGTACTATTATCTAATTTTGCTTAAAAATTTAAAATACATTATTCTCAAAACGCTGCAGGTCATACACACATAGCTTTATCTTGGTACACTTATTTGAAGGTACTCCATCTTATACAATATTCATTTCTCAGTGGAGATCAATAGTACTTCGTATGTGTTGATGTATAATTATAGGGATCTGGGCTCATAAGTTAAGTTTTTGTGTTCAGAAGAAAATTTTGACAACCCTAGTCGTTCCTTGATCAGATATGATTTGACTGACCACTGTACACACATTTCCACAACCTATGTGTGCTTGTCTTTCTTCATCTCTGTTTGTATACAAACTTCATCATGATGTAACTTTATTAATTTACAGTGAATATTATGTCGATGGCTGTGTAACCAAGTAAAACCTACTTCCAATGTACAAATATAGAGTAGAATATAGGTGATTTTATTATTCTTGTTGCAATTAGAAAACCTAACTACTTACCATAAACTTACAATTTTTACATTTTCTGAGTAGTTGTAAAATCTTTCTGCTTGTGATCATCGACTCCCAAATTGCCTTCATAAAGAATGAACTTTTTCTGGTATATTTAACAGTATTTAAGAGCAGAATTCTGATGTTGATCTAGTTAAAAAGCATATTGTTCGTTTATGTATATTGTTCCACAACAGAGAACAGTAAGAATCTGATAAAGTAAAAAAATCTTTAGTGACAAAAATTTGGGATTAAAAAGCAACGAACTTAGTGAGAGTGTAGTGTAGGCAGTAACTACTGAAGACAATGAGTGAGGTTGGGAAAATCCTTCGGTTAATCAGAGTTAATGTTTAACACGGTTGGAAGCCGGCTCAGTAATTCAGAGGTTAACTGTTCGCTCCGAAGACCGAAATACTATTGCGTCCCATACTATGACGAAACAGCCATCCAGTGCTTCAAGGTTTCCTATTGTGATCTGAAGATCAATAAATCGTGATTTCGCTTTGAAATAACGATATCCGTGATCCTATAGTGAAAAAAGGTTAGTATGTCGGCCTAATATAGCAAGCCTGATCTTTTGGTTAGATTGATCAATCTATTCTTTTAGAGTCAATATTCACATCCTTCGTCGATTATTCGGTGTCGATTCCGGAGGTTTCACTAGTTCATGTATGTGTACTACTTACGTCGTTTATCATATGTCTAGGTTATTTCTTTCTACTCTTTTTTCTGGCTATCACAAGGAAGTTTCTATAATTGTATAAATAAACTTGAGTTGAGTGTTTAGCAACCTTGTATTTTCTGGGTGCCCGTAGCATACATTCTGCACGCCTTATCAATACTTCTTTATCTAGTTAGCGCAGTCTTGGACAATCAGATTAGAATGGCCTATCATATCACTGCATCATTGATCTTCATTCCGTTTACCGAGTAGGTGATCCCGTAATAGTTTCAAGCAAATCAAACAGTCTTCTTACAGGGCAATAAACGTGAATTGATTACAAACCTCAACTCGTGATGTACCAGTGTGTCTGGAAAGAGAGAGCTTTACTCCAGTAATAACACAACACGCAACAACAACAAACAAGTGCATGAATAGTATCTGCTAGTATCTGAGTTTTATGTTGAAAACAGTTTTTCAACAGCCACATGAAAATAAAATCATGCAGATACACAAGGTAGTGCAATTAATACTTAAAACCTCGAAAACGTACCGACCAGCACTACACCAAACCTTCACAATTTATAACAAATTCAGCTGTTTACTGAATAGTAATTATAAGTAGTATAGAGAAATACACTAAAAACGAATCGCATGAGAAGGGAATAAAATCACAAATGTGACAGAACTTATCGCACTTTGTATATCACCTCAGCAATTATTGCACATCGATACACCCTCGTATAGCTTTCCGATTCAAAGTATTCAAATGTGATGAATGCAAATGTAGGAATGTCAAAAGTAACAATTATTATCCTTCGTTGAGTCACAGTCACATACCAATTCTCCGTTTGATCGGTTCACCTCAATGTAGTTCACGAGTTCAGTTCTAGTGATAATAACTAGACGGTAAAGGAAACTACGATCCTATATCTATTATTAGTATTTCTTCGCCTGTATTTTAAGTAACCAGGTGAAAGTGTTAGCTATTACTGGAACTGCTTTATTTGGATGAAGCTGGAGATGTTAGGATGCTGCAATGTGATAGCCATTCTCCGGTACTAAAGTTTAGAAAAACATCGAAGAAGTTATGTGGTTGCTCAATTTCCTCCAATTCGTTACGTTCATATCACGCTGAAATTCATAAAGGTCACGAGATTTAGATGTAAAAGTTTAAGTTGTTTTGCGTTGTTATTGAAACAACTCAATGTTATTGTTGTGAATGGAAATCTCACATCGAAATCATTTTTGGCTGATCAGCTTCAGAAAAATATTCTCGTAAACGACTGGCAATAATCAGTAGTTTTGATCGACTCAGGAGAAACCAGTGAAGTGTTAAACACTGATTCCATTTAAAGACAAGATAAGATTCAGTTTATTTGGCTATCCTGACAATTTTGTTTGTCAAAAATAGATATATTTCCTAAATTTCTTATTTTTATCGACGTAATAACGTTTTCTAGCTATTGCCCGATAATATATAAATTGGAAGACAAATATAGCTAGTTGATTACATTTATTACCACATCACACTTTCCAAAATGCCACAGTCATACGAAGCCAAATTCAAAATCAGATGGGAGCGGCGATGCCCAAGCGTTTGCATGAGACTATGAGTACGCGAGTGAACTAGCCAGTAAGTAGAATTGAAATGTACATTTATATCTTCACAAGTACATAAGTTATCAGACTACTTAATTGGCTAACGTTAAGGAGAGTAGAGATGAATATGTATGTCGGTGGTAAGCAGTACTCACTCATACCTGTTCATAAAAACGCGACAACAATAAAAGCACAATGGTGTAGATGCGTCGTTGCTAAACAATGAATGTCTTTTAAATGAGTTAATTGAAAGGGCTTAACCAAATTAAATGTATACAAACTCAAATGTCTATGGTTTGCTATATCTTTCCTCAGTAAACAAAGATTCAAATGTTTCTGTGTTTACCAAAAAAGGACAATTTGTGATAAATTTCAAGGGTACATGAGGGGTGTGTTTATGGTACGAAGGTGTCATACTCATCTAACAGAATATAATAATGCCGTCTAGGCTTGGACGAAATTAAAATATGAACATGCGAGTTTTTAAGAGTTTTTAAAATATTAACACTTATTTATGGCGTGGTTGTTTCGGCAATAAAATAACACGTTTGAATGAGTAATTTCGAAAGACGAGAAAATGACGGAATAAATCGAGAGAATAAGTAGGCTGAAATATAACGAAAATTGATCTGTGACGCTGACAAGATATGCAAACAAATAACAGTTAAGTGTGAACACGTTTTAATGAGCCG